CGATCCATTTGTTTCTTTGCACCAACAATGTAGCGGAATATGAAGCCTGCACTACAGGACTGAAGTTAGCTCTCAGCTTAGGTGCCAGGTGCATTAGATTAGAGTCACCGGTGACTCTCTTTTAGTAATTAGACAGGCTACCGGAGAATGGAAAGTCCGGGACCCGTTCCCTATCAGGAATTGCTTGAACGCCTAGCCCAAGGTGGGGAAATTGATTATAATCATGTCTCCCACGATAAAAACCGCAATGCAGACGCCCTAGCTATTCTTGCAGCCCTCACCCACGCTCCTCTCCAGGGAGTGATCAAGTCTTTCGACGGCCTTCACTGAACCGGCAACCATTCAGTCGAGGAGGTGAACCAAGCAGAACATCTGCATGGGGCACCCTGGTTCACTGAGATTCTAAACTTCCTTGAAAAGGGATAATTCTCGGCCCAGGCCACTAAGAATGACGGGACACGATTAGGCGCCTTGCCACTCGCTATGTGATCTGCGGGGGGCGGCTCCCATAAGTTGCTAAACTCCTGCCCTATTGCTAGCACCAGTCCGAGTTATACCCGTCGTATTGAAGCCGTCCCATTCCATCCTTCCTTTTTTCTGCCCCCGATCTGCTTTCGACTTCGATTAATTATTCTCGGGCATGCTTTCTAAACTATTCTCTAAATCCTTTCCTCGAGGATCCACCCATTGTATTTCTTATCGATGTGTGAATGCTTCTCTGCTTTAGCCTAATGCTGCTGTCTCTTAGAGAGTGAAGCAGCTTAAGCCGCTTCTACCTAAATTGACTTTCAGAAGGGAAAGACCAACTGATCAGATGGATTGGTCGTACTAAGTTATCCCGGATAACTGGGACAGGGAGTTTCGGTCAAAGAAAGAATGCCCAACGCAGGTCAAAGCAAAAGCAGAAGGAAGTAAGGTAAGAGGAATCACTCCATCCAAGTATGGAACTGAAGCTATCAACCTCAAGCTAAGCAGCTGCAGAAGCTGTAGGGAGGGACAGACCATCAACAGAGGCAGAAGCCTAGCCATCAAGACTAATCGGACGCGAGAAGAGTGCGATAATTGACCTGGCACGGGGGATAAGAGAGAAAGGGAGTTTGAGGCATCCATTATTTTCCATTACGACAGGTAAAATAGACGTGCAATTACCATCTCCTTTAGTTCTGCTGAGCTAGAGCTAGGGTCGATGTAATTGAGTGAGGAAGAAGGAAAGTGGCTTCCCAATAAATAGTGAATATGGGCAGCTGGGCACCGCCCTTATGCATGAGCAGGACTGTAAGAAATACCTGACTGAAGATTAGATCGATGACAAAAAGCTTCCCGCGGGTTGCTTAGATATGAGATTAAAGTTGGCACGAGAAAGAAATAAGGAAAGCGGCGAAGAAAGATGTAGCAATAACGGATACCACGAGGTAGTGCGGTTAGAAAGGCAGGCCTAAAGAGAAGAGTTTGGGATGAGAATGAGGTTTTCAAGACAGCCGTTGACGTACTCCGTAAATGACAGAGAGATCTAGATTCAATAGCACTCCCAACTATAAGGGAGAATAAAGGGAAGCGCTCAAAGCGGAACCGGTACGACAAGTTCGCTTAGGGTGTTGTTAGCGCGGGAGTACGCGCGATATTGCTTTCCTTTTCTAGTAAAGCATAATCTACTTACCTGCATCCAATCCACTTTGCTGACTCGCTGCTAACACGTCATGCTTAGCTATTAATACTCGCTTTCAATGAGCTTGCTATCAGCTAAGGAAGCTCCCCCTCTCACTACGTTCCTCTTCTAGCATTGCGTCATCTTCTTCTCTTTCTCTTATGCTGATTCATACCTAGTTAAAGAAGAAAGATCTCACTTCTGTTTATTCAGACTCCTCTTTCTTATCGAAGACTCTGGCAGCTGGAACTCATCGGCAGCGACTCTTACCACTGCAACCTAGGCACTCAGGCCTTGGAGCTGATCTGTCAGTCCACCGTTATCCCAAACCTCTACTTTGCTTTGAAGTGAAGCGACTTCGTTCATTCCCGAGTCGATAATAGCCAGAGGATGGAACCCTATCCCTGTAATGGCACATCAGCTTACCGATTCCTTAATAAGCATTGATTCCCTGGAATAAAGAGTAAGCCCCTTCTATCTCGCGCATATCACGCTGATGAGAAGAGAAGAAGATCGGAGACAGATATTGATTCCTTGCCGTTGGGCACTCTATTGGGTCTCCTGTGCTAACTCGACCAAAAAAAAAGGGCTACAACCTCAGATGTAGGGACATAATTTTTTGAAAAGGATTCTTTCCATTTTAGAAGACAATTCAAGACTAACATCAGACTCCTCCGCGGCATCGGTGGTTACCACTGAAGGGGATGTTGTCGCTTACTAGGATGTTTTCTCCTAATCGTCTATAGAGTTTCGAGCTAGTGATCACTCATTTATTTGGCAGAAGCTTCGATGACGAATGCAGTATCTGGGATTTGAAAAGGATACCGCTCTACTCTAGGAGTAATAAAAAGTCCTCCCCTCCATTCTCCATTGCTTACGGAGACGGCAAATCCAGAGAAAGTTCTAGGCCCTCTCTTGCTTGGGTTGGCATCAATGTTAGCAGATCGACTCCAAAGGGAGTTGGATAAGATTGAGTTCGTGCGATAAGAATCAGAGTAAGGGCGGGGGAGAGCCCAAAAGTAAGTGGAGTTAATGGGACGACTCCGCCTTCACTAAAGAGGAAGCAAGTAGGGCACAGGCTTTGAGGTTGGAGCCTTGCCCGTGAAGGTATCCCAATAGTTGGGCTAATCCAGACTGTCTTCCGGAAGGGCAATTACATCACGCCTCGTGCTGATTTGATTAAATGACTTCTTCAACTATTTCTTCCCTATGGCGAAGACCTATTCGTGGAAGAAGTTCTGTTGTTGTGGATCTGGGAATTGAAAGAGCAGCTCCTCTTCCAAATTGTAGAGTTGTAGACTGATCTTTTCTGAATTCAATAAAGGTGCGAAGCGCTCTCCTTAAACCATCTACAAACCCTTTACCCTGAGAGAAAGGAACTGATTTAGCGATAAACTATTCTTTAGACCTGAAGGTGGGCATGAATGGAGCTTCTGAAATTTCCCCTAGCGGGGGTTTAAAGCCGGGGCTTAGAGGACTTAGTATAGTATGTGCGCCGCGTGGCGGTGCCGTAAGGAGATGGAATCGAACCACCACTTTCAGGCGGAGCGTTAAGCTTCCAGCGTTCACCCTTTCGCGATCCTTACTTTTGTTCACCCGCTTCATCGCGTAATAAGCGATTACATCCGGGGTCGGCCTTACCAACTGAGGGGGACTCAAATCAACAGCATTTCGTCAGAATACGAATGAGATCAAAAAGCCGGGCAATTCGTCGTTCATGCATTTGGGTCCGTTGTCGCTGGAGATTGCACTTAGTGCTAGGCTTCCGCTGTCGGTCCGGACCGGGTGATGAAACTTCACGTACTTTGGTTAGTCATTCTGCTTGTATCGACTCCCGCTTTATTTACGTCATAATCTAAAGCTCTCTGTCCCTGATCCTTTCAAGCATAGAATGAAGCGAGTGGGGATTGCCGGGTTTCAGCTGCTTTCTCTGCTCTTAGGTTCGATCTTTTTTCTTATAGGGCCCCTATGCTTTATAATAGCCTATTCTATTACATTCCTTCCCTTAGACAGACGACTGTCTTACTTGCTGTCTATCTCGACCTAGAGCCTGCTTTCCTACTGGATTGGGAATGAGCCTAGAAAACGACTCCTACACTGGTTGGAAGCAAAGGGGGAACTCATTCGCCTGGAGGGATGGTCACTTCCACTGCCTACTGTAATTAGATGGCCTTACCCTAGCATTTCAGGTATTTTCTTGAACTGGTAGAGATATGGATTTTCCTTCAAAGCATAGATGGTAGGACTATTGGTATTGCTACTTTCTTTTCTTATTTCGGCCTTGCACAACAGAAACATATATTTCCTCGAAATGAAAGGAGAAGGCTGTCCTTTTGCCACATAGAAGTATTTACGCCCCTGGATCAGAAGAAGGATGGATAAACCGATGCCCGAGGTACGAGGCCTCAACTTCCGATCTTTGCGCAACGAAGACAACCACGAGAACTTCGGTCAGTAGAAAGACCTGTCCACGGACTTTGTACTTCCGACCCGCTCTTCCTTACCCCACTCGTCTTTCGATGGCAACAGTCCACTACCGCTTCTGTTCTGCAACAGTAATAAAGTAAAGGATCTGGATCTGCCACTTCACCGAAACCGATGACCAAAGATAGGGATGTTCGTTCCGAGCCCGCTGCCCTACGAGTCTCTCAATATGTTTGGCATTCACCTGACGAAAGTCTAAATCTGAATCAATTTCTACAATACAATGGACCCCCGCCCGAAAAGGTCGAGATTTCCCTAAGGATTCCTGCTTCTTGGCAGCTACAAGGGAGAATACATAAGCGGGAGAACGAATAGAACTAGATGCGCTTGACCTAGCTCTTGATTGCCTAAGAGGAGAAGTCTTGATGGAGCCAGGCTTTCCTGGATCGCTCACAGGCTTGCTTTCAGGAGTGGGAAATCAAACTCTTTGTGGTACAGCCCGTGGAGCCTTTTTCCTTCACTAAAGGATGTTCATCTTACCCGACCAAGCTTACTATACTATACGCAACTGGGACTGGCTTCGTCGCTGCTATTGATTTCATCCGCATCTCTTGGATGCCAGAAAGAATGACCTTTAAAGGAAAGTCTTAGCCCGGCCTCCCACTGGAGAATACCATTCTTTTCTCATTGACTTCTTGAGATGGATAAATATTATAGGAAAAGTTTCTCTCACAGCAGCATCTCGCGTCAGCAGCGCATCTTGCATCAGGAAAAGCAGGGTAATCATTAGTCCACGACACCGAATGTCTCTCTCAAGGTTTAGCACTCAGCCTTCTCATTAGACACTCTCTTTTTGACACAATTATATGTATGAAAGACCTGGACCAAGAGGCACCACTACCTGGAAAGGAAACCCGGTTTTTCCATTGTCAACGAATGGGCTACTGACTAGGCCCTTCCCTTAGTGCTTACCTAAATAAGTTGAAGAAGACTTCCGTGAAGAAGAATTCACAGAGCCTCTTTCGTTTAGGTCTAAATACTATGTTCCGTCACAGCCTTCCATGTTGTACTCTTCCCCACGTCCATGCCAGAAAGAGCTTTCAAGTCTAATTTCTTCATCCTTGCCTCAGTTCAGGAATTCCTCATAATTACTTATATAAGAGAATCAAGTGACCACACTCTGGCAGCTCCTATCATATTCAATAGGCAATGCTCGAAGGATCCTATCAGGCATTGTTTGCCGTCCTGACAGGAAACCGAAAACAAGGCAAGCGATCCCGCAAGTACCTTCCCAAAGGCAGAAGGGGTAGTCTAAGTGTTTGCTTCTTTCTAAAGCTACCGCCCATCCGACCAGAGGTTCAAGGGAAAACGAGAGCGTCCCTTGTAATGGGGAGGCTCAAAAGAGAGGGCACAGTAACGCCCAACAAAGAAAATCCGCCTATACATTATTTTATCGTTTGGCTAGGTGTTCCGCGACCGAACTGACTCACTATTTCTTCTCTCTTTCACTACCATCCACCGCGCTTCTGCTCAGTCTTATCTCCCTTTCCTTTTTCTCGGATCCTGGTTTTTCGGATTTCTCGCTTTCTCGCTTTTTGTTTTGAGTTTTGTGGCTATGGTTAGGATTCTTGTCGTGTAATTTTTGCCAGAGTAACATCGCCAGGTTGGAAATCAAAGTATAGGTTAAGCATCCTCCTCCAAGGTAAAGAAAGGGCTAAAGCTGCCACGCGTGAGGAGGCAGCCGATGCACACTAATGTCAGTGGACATGAATTCATACAGTCACGAGGAAAAGGCTATTGCTTTGTTGTTCTTGTTGTTAGGATTGGTATTGACTCAAACAACATCCTGTAAGCTCATTGTAATGGATTAATACCGCATGCTAACATGCAGTAGTGAGAAGAAGTCCGGGAGAAGTGATTAGTACGCGGAAAGACTTGACCTTTGGAGCCAGGCGAGATCCTATCAGGGATGGGCAGGTATCAGGGGTAAGTATGATCTGGTTCAGGGATTGGTAACGAGATTCGAAGCAGTTAAACTAATCCTTACATGGCAACAGGAGCGCACCTCTACGAGAAAGGTAGTTCTTTAGGTCCTGGCAATAGGATGATAGGGGCATTTATCAGTCAAGTTGTACTAGACGAAGAAGTAAGAGGGTGGGTGGAATGCCCCAGACTTTCTACCACAAGCCTTGTGGACAGCTGTAAACAATGTTATAATGCTTGGTAAATATGTCCAAAGATGTGGTCGGTCTTTTGGTGCGGAGATTCCCCCTCGGGCGCAGAACAGAAGGATGTTGCAATATTTTATTGGCGTTGCGCATCGAACTAGCTCAATCTTAGGACTTGTTTGAACCGATGACATTTGTACGCTTACCAGACGAAGAAGAATAGCTCATATTAGATAAAGATCAAAAGACTTGAGAGACTCATAGGGCAGCGGCTCTCTACTATATATAAGGCTGTGGATTACTCTGTACCCGGTTTCTGAGCTATACTATAGTAGGGTCGGCGGACTCAGAAACCTCGAGCTCGGGCTGCTCGGCTCTTTGATTGGTAGTTTCCTTCGGTCAAGACTATTGATTAGTCGCTTTCAGAGCTTCTACCATTAATAATGGAGTGTCTGAAACCTCAACCCCGAGATGCGAACTCCTTTTTATTTTTAGTGTGCCTGCTCCGAACTCCCTTGGCTTGGGAAACTGCCATTTGTTTTAGTTCAGGAATGTCTAGCAGTTTGGTAAATGGGTCCTGGGCCGATAGTAGAAATACTGGGGTACCTAATAGTATAAATATTTAGACTCTTTATTAAACTAGCCGTTTTCAGGCAGCAGGACTGGAACCTGTCAAGTCCTGAGTGACTTATCTAACGAAGCAGGGGTGCAAGATCCTGGTATAAGTACAGGGGAAAGGGTACAGGTGTTAACAGGTTCATAAACTCATATATTCGCGCCGCCCCTCACGTATGAATCGTCATTTTATGAGGAAACTCGCGCTCTAGCCCGCTGGGTCATTTGAAACCCCTTCTACAAAAGAAAGCCGTGTACTCTTAAACCCAAAGGTAAATACCAGAACAAACAAAAGGACAATCCCTGGGGTCAAATACCTCAAAACCGGGATCTTCTAGGCATAGGTTTATGTCCCAGGTCCCAATGGGTTCGACTCCAGCCCTTTATCGTTTATAACGAAACGGGTACTCCAATCCTGATAACAGAACTGATGGATCTAAACCGGGTACCCAATCGTTTATACACGCGCAAGGTCAAGTCCTGCCCCGATAGAAGTACAGGAACGCCAGTAATCTAGAAGCCAGGACTTTTGCAAGCATCGGAAAGTGACAACGCCCGCTCCCCAGCCCTTCCTTTGTTTTGACGTGTACAAGCACAGGAAAGAAAGGGTGAAAAGTCATATATCAAAAACTCACGTTTGCAACCCCTTTAGATTCGTCATAAAATGATCAAACTCGCGTTTAAACACGTTTCTGCAGGGGGTCTTCTCCTGGCACCTACTAGTATAAACAACTAGATACAAATTCCTGAACCGAGGAGGAATCAAAGATCGAAGCGCTGGACTTGAACCTACGCTTGCCATCTATTCCCTTACCCGTCTACTTGACTACTAGACCTAACAAGAGGAGAAGAACTCAGCTCTTACACGGTCAACTAATCGATTGAAAGCAAGGAAGCGAAGCAACCATACAATACCTATGAGATTTCGCAGCTGTATTCCTGTCAGTCAAGCCAATAAATGGTCTAGTCCTAGCGTATTCAATACCTGTAAGTCAATCAGGTCCTCTATCCATCATAGAAAGGGATATCGTTTACCTATGTTATTTCACCTAACAAGCGTATTCGTTAGCCGTTGGTGTGTGGTATTTCTTCTCCTAGCGTAAGATGAAAAGGAGCTCAGTAAAGACGACGAAAGCCAATCCGTATTGGGCAGGAACTCCTTGAGTGACTGCTAAGGCCAATCCGTAGAGATGCAGTATTGAATCACCGTAGATAGCGTCAATAGCTGTCCTTTCGTAGTCCTGTCAGAAGGCAAGGAAGTCAGTAAAGAAAGAGCAAAGAAGAGCTGTTATCAAAGGAGCGAGCGTAGCGATCAAAGAAAGCGGTCCAGAGTTTATGTCCTTTCTTGAAAGCGCAGCGATCAATCCAGAGATTGGAGGAGTTCCAAAGCCTTTGAAGCAAGGAAGTCTCAGTCTTTAGCCGTAGGGCTGGTCTTGTATCAAACAAAGAAAGAGAGTTCCTTAGCGTAGCGGTCAAGCGAAAGGACAGCTACTCTCCATGCCTTTGAGGAGCTACTCTTCTTTGGACAGGACTTCGATATTAGAAGGAATAGCCCGAAGGAAGATGAATACGCTTGTATACACATAGGTGATGGGAAGAAGATATGGGCTCGTACCTCGGGTAAGGAGACAACCACCCGTAAGATCATAGTACGCTAGATAGCGAAGGTACACTGGTAATGGGAACACACATGAAAGAAAGGTACATACACACGTGTAGGAGAGCGATCGATAGGGGTAAGACAAGACACTGGGAGAAGTCTTGAAAGAGCTCTTCCTCATATGAGAGAAATAGCGAAATGGCTATGGTTACAGGACAACGACATGAGGAGGTGTTGACAGGCCCGCTGGCAGCTAAACGACCCAGCTTTGGCATTCCTCTTCGATTCTTTCGCTCGTACCTCGGGCATCAGCTTTCGTTAAGCACTCAGCTTAGGAGTCTCCCTTGTCTGCACTAATGAAAGGAATTTACTACCCGAAGGCTCCTTAATGGAATGGAGGAAGCGAAGTTGAGTAGTAGGTAAGCGTAGTCAAGTAGACGAGATGAGGAGAAGAAGCGATTCCTCACTAACATCTGTAAATAAAGAAAAGTAGTTAGGCGATATTTATGGTTTGAGAGTTCCTTTCTCTAAGACAACAGGAATTGAAAGTACCATCCAATGAATTGATAAATGATAAAAAAGGTATAGGTTTCAGAGATAGAGAGGAATGTAATGTAATGATACATTAGTTCTATAATCAAATATGAAAAAAATAGTCAATATGAAAGGACTGGTAGAAAGGATCATGAACAAGTAAAAGGGAAACAACTAAACTCATGATACAACACAGGACTTACTCGGAAACATGAATCTATAGACCTCTCTTCCTCAATCCATTTACAGAACAATAACAAATATAATAGAATTCTCGATACCTCGTCTTTGCTTGCCGATACTACCCATCTAAACACTCGTTTAATGACCTTTCTGAGTCTTATACCTTAGTTGACAACAACAATCCTTCAACTGATCAAATAGATCCTTTCAGAGGATATTGAAACCTTTGATGCCTGTCCTTAGTTATTGATATGGCACCTTACTTACCTTCGATTACTGACTGAGCATGGGAAAGAGGATCCTTAGGTCCTAGCTTTCATACGATTGATCAGGTACAAAATAACAGGTCCAAGCATCAGGGATGGGAGCCGGGCGTAAGCCCAACCGAATTGCGTAAGGAGTTTAGTTTAAGATGTGGTCACAGCCGGGCGTGAGCCCTTGCGCTTTTGCCAGAGCTAAGAGTTGTCTTTCAGGGATGGGTTCACTCAGGGATTGGTGCTTTTGCGGGCGTAAGCCCTTGAGCTTTTGCGTTAGAGCCAGGAGTTTTGAGACTGGGGGTACGCAGCTGCCGGTGATAGGGTTAGAGCAGCCGAAACGTTTTAGAACACATCTCTTATATTCTGTATCAAGAGCTGGTCCTGTGCTTTCAGCTTCAGCCGATGTTGTCGACAGTTTTACAAGTCCTCTTTCTCTTTAGCAGGACCAGGCGTGCCAGCTCAAGTTAGTGAGTTCTACCAATGATGTAATCAGTTCGCAGGAGTGCAGCCCGGCCAAGAGACTCCTCCTCTTCTCAGGTTTATAAGGCTCGGCAGATGCCCAAGATATCGATCAGAGTATTAGTACCCCTTTTCAGAATTAGGTACACTACACACAAACCTAATCTATCAAATGAAAATGAAAGTACATATGGATTGAGTTCGTAAGTTGTTCCTTCTGCAAGGGTGAGAACAGGATCTTTCTTTCTATATTCTATTTCTATCTATAATAGAACTCAAAGAAGAGAGGTAAGGTCTTGTAAGGGACAGCGTCCAGATCTATTTTATCTGTGGATTTTTAAAAGAAGTTGATGGATCTTATGCTGAGGGGGAGAGAAAGGATCAGTATCGTCTGTTTCGGGAAGAAGGATTCATTCCAACTAGTTTGGGCAAGAGAGGGCCGGAAAGGAAGGGCAAGGTAACTAGTTTGAGCCGGCCAGAGGACCGGGTTTGCCTCAATATGGTCGAGGGGGCGAAGCCATGAAAGTAGCGTTAAAACTCCGGATTTTAAGCGTTTAACCGATGCTGAGGAGAGAGAAGTGAGACTCTACAAACGAAGGGAAGCGAAGTTCAGTCATAGAGGAAAGAGAGTGAAGGGCTCCCAGATGAGGAGCCATCCGAAAGTGACAGCATTAGCAGCTCAGCTCTTTTGAGCAGCAAGGGGGGAAGAACTCCCAGGATTTCAGATGCTTGTCCTTCATCTCTTTGATATACGCGATCGAGGGATCGGAAGAGTCGACAATATATGCATATGATCGGCTAAAAACCTTCAAAAAGCGTGGGGTTCTACATTTTCGAACTAACTCACTCACTCCTAAACCCGAGGTTTCGAATTACCGGTCAAAGGAAGGAAAGACAGATGCTCTAAGGTACGAAACTGGGCAAACTGCTCGGTCCGAAACTCACCTATTTGGGCAAGGCAGAAAGATTTACCAGTCCTCGCTTCCGAAGAAGAATCAGATCTGAAGTTTACCAGTAGGGGTCAGACGGAGATTCCTCGGGATTCCCTGACCAAGGTTCCAAAGCCTGCAAAGAAAGCGCATGAATAAGGAGAGGTATCGAGGTCAACTGAATGGAATCCTCTATTCCCATTGGCACTCAGATTGGGAAACTAAGCTAACAGATAGGGCGTGAGAACGAGGTACCAAGGGTCTGAAAGAAGGAAGACCATTCTTTCGCTATCTGGTGTTTCGACTAATGAGGAACCTTCCAAGTTCGGTCGGTCAAATCACAAGACTGGGGTCCTGAACTACAGCTTTCCTGCATTTGAAAGTCGATTTCCAGCTCAGTACTTTGGGATGAGAACGCTCTTAGAATGACCTGGTTTGGGAAAGAGAAGCGCAGGAATCCGCTCTTTTTCCTGAGGTCGGAAACTCGACTTATTAGCTTATTAGCCAACCTTTGGAAAGTACTTCCAGCGAACAGTACACCAGCCAAGCCTATTTGGAAAAGCAAGTTTACCATTGGTTAGGAAATTTGGCTTGAAATCCACCCCGAGATTTCTATCCCAACGCTAGGAGTTTTTATGATGATTCACCCACAGGGGGTAGAGAAAACGCGTTTTTCTCACATCCATGGACGATATCTCTATCCTGAGAAACCACGAACTCACTTCGTTTGCGAAATATGACACCAGCAACTCCTAACTCCCATTTCGATTACCAGGAAAGAAAAGGGGGTACAATACGTTTGACCGAGGGGACTAGGACTCATGGATTCCATAGATCAGGAGATCAGTCAGGCAAGGCAAGTTACCAGATTTGGAGGAATGCATTCTCCTGTCTTCGCAAGACAAGCTAAGGCAAACTAAGGAAACTGGCAGGACTCAAAGCGATGGCATAAGAAATGGACAGATTTCCCACTTATTGCGCACTTGGAAGCTTACCCTCGAGCCATATAAAATAAAATGGCGTTACGAAACAGACCCCAGAAAAACACCCCGATATTTCTATCCAGAGAACGCACGCAAATCCATTTTATGATCTTTACGAGGGGTACAGAAGTCGCGTTTTCACCATATGAGATCTATGCCCCAGATTTCTAGCCAGAGAAACCACGATATCGCCATTTATGCCAAATCTGATACCAGCATCTCCTTACTCGCTTTTAGTTTTAGATTACCGGGAAAAGGGGGCGAAAGGGCGTTTGACCTTGACCATATGCTTTATGCGCGCAAGAGGACGAAGACTAATGTATTTACGAACTGGGCCAGAAAAGAGGAGTTCGACTTACGAGATCCAACTACTGATAGCCTGCCCTATTTTGAGCACTTGACCTGCTAGGCCCCTCACGGAGATATATATGCGAACTTCCTCCATCAAGCGAGACATTAGGAATGAAATACCAGACCCAGAAAAAGGGTGAGCTCTTGACTATCGATAGCAGAGACTACCCAACTCTTCGCCCACCATATTATATGTATATGGATAGTTACGCGGCAGGACCAAGAGATTACTTCCATATATGGTCGACTTCCCTCGATATTAGGAGAACTTCCCGATTGAGATATATATTGCAACTTACTAGCTCTCGCCATTAGGAACTTACTCTTGAGAGTGAGAGCTAATATAATACATAATACGAGCTACTACACTTACCAAGGGGGTTAGAAATTAATAGACTCAGGACTTTGTATTCCCTCTAGCTGCCTAGCTATGCCTCGATCTCACTCCTATTATACCAAACAAGACTAAGGTCTGGGAATTAGGAACTCGGGTTTCTATCCATGACAGTAGAAGTAGAGGGAAATTCCGATAGTGACGTGACTCCAGAAATTGCATAGAATAGAGTGGATTTTCCCATCTGGAGTTGGAATACCAGGTCTGGGTCAGAGGAAGGACTCCCGGTTTAGAGCCGTAAAGTAGTAAGCAAGCGATCGCACTTGAAAGGAAAGTACCAGAAAACGGTGATTTAATACGGATAAGCTCCTCTAATTCTATCAGTTAAAGACAAGACCTGAAAGCTAGAGGCTCGTACCTCGGGTACATCGGATCAGAGACTGCAAAGCGATAACATCAGAATTCCACTCATCCTCTGAAATCGCATATCGCATAGATAAGAATATGAGTTGCTTTGAAATCAGGAGTTGGAATGAATACCCGAGAAAGGTCGCACTTGCCAAGTCCTCTACCAGAAAAGGGGGTAAAATAGAATAGTCTCTATTGAATTACCAGATTAGGAGCTAAACTACGATTGGATTGGAAAGTGACAGATTAGAGATTAGGACCGATAAAGAGCTTGGCTTGAAGCCGCTTGAGCTCAGAAGTTTGCCCTCGATCGATAAATATATATTTTCTGGTTTCGAAAAGGGTAGGAAATTCGACCCTATATTTGTTACCAGAGAACCCGCGTTTGAGACTTCCAATGATCAATCACCTTAGAGGACCTCCTTGCGTGCCTTTCTCTTAACAGGATTTTCAACACTACTATTTAGGGAGTCCAGCAGTCTACAGCTTTTCCAACATATTTAGATAGTTACGCGTGAGGGAGATCTCCTGATCTTGATAAAGAGCGTTTACCAGTTGGTCGACTAACAGATTACTCTTTTCGATCGCCATTAGGAAATACTACCCAACTCCAACAGATGACTGCGATATATATTGCACTTTACCAGAGCTCACTCGCTAGATTGAGGATCCAGATAAAGATTTAGAGATAGAGGGTTGACTCCTGAGCGATGATTTGCTCCTACCCTCGGGGTGAGAAAAGGAAAGGCGATCTGAAGAGATAAAGAGGTACCTCGGGTCGTGACGTGAACAAGCCGGAAAGGAAGTGAATTCCCAATCCTTCGACCAGATAAGATAAGCCAGTTTGGGAAGATTTATTAGCGTAAGATCCTCAAATGAAAGATTTCTACTATTTGGTTCCTTTTTTTGAAATATGTGTCTACAGGGCCGCTCTGAGATTTGGTCTTCCACCTCTCTTTTTGTCTTGGTGGCGCAAGCGATCGGGGATTTCGGGTAGGAAAGCGAGATGAAGTTTACCCAAGGCCGTCAACAAACCGGATAGCTCTGAAAGCGAGGTACCAACGGTATAACTCCTCTTTTATATACCGGGTAGGGGAAACAGATAGTAAGGGGTTTGGCCCCAACATGAGAAATGAGAAGTTTCTCCTCTTCGGTATCAGGTTTAGAAATTTGTATCTACCAGCTCAACCTGGGATAGACCTTTAGATTAGACTTTTCTAGAAGTGGTGGAATTTGAACCCGCATATAGACAAAACCTTAGAAAGATTTTTTTAGGTCATTTCATACGTGAGGACCTCGAAACTCTTCTTTCTCTTATATGAGATTTGAGACGCTAGTATTAGCGCTTTACAGAAGTACCAACTTCTTGGGATAAACGACCGATAGCTCGATAGCACTTTTGGAAGTTCACCCTCGGGGTGAGCATAAGGAATGGGCTCTAAAGAGGTACATCGGGTCGTCAACCAACTGAACAAACCGGAAACTCAGCTAAGCCAGAAACCACTATTTTATTAGCATAAGTAAATAGATATCCTGGACTTGATCTTACTCTTACTTAGCTAGAAATTGCTAGATATGAGGGAAATCAGTGTCCGCAGATCCAACATAGAAATTCATATATGCGCGAGGGAGAAAGATCAGGAGAAAGAGATAGATTAAGAGTGGAATCCTGAAGTCCACAGAGTGAGAGCACATCGGTAACTGGGTTTCCTCAGCTCAGATCTATCAAATCAAATACTTCCCGTCATGTTATGTTGATGAAATCGTTCCTAGCGGCGGCAGGACAGGACATGCGAGCTCCAGTACCAGCGTCTTTCCGATGTTTAGTGTACAAAGACCAGCTAGTACTTCAGCCCTGTTGGCAAGACGTGAGGTAGAATCATAAGCACATAAGCAAGGGCAGCTAAACGGCTGTTTTTATATCCAGGATTTGAACCTGCGGGTGTCCGTTACTTTAGTCCAGCTAGTGCTTTAGGGCTATGCTGCCCAATCTCCTTCTTCTGGTCTTTAGCTCTAAAACTTCCATATAATAGTAGGAAAGGGCAGCTAAATAACTTCCTAATAAATTGACTAAAAAAAGAAAAACATTTTTATGTGGGATTGAGCCTCAGAAGAGAAGAGAGAGTAAGAACATGCGCAAGCCGGTACCTTCAAAGGATGTCAAAGACTATTACTATAGCGCTATGCCCCGTCTCTTGCCCCATATGTATCCGTCTTGGCTTACTACCTGTCCATCCTAACTTGTTTAACTTTCCGAAAGAGCGGCCTAAAGCTCAAGGGGTTCAGTTTCCTTCGATCTTAGGAAAGGCGGGGGTTGAGCTACATGTACACATACACTAAACAAGCACGAACCAAATCTTCCTTTTTCAAATACAAGTAGGAACTGATAAAGAGGCAAATTTGGTCCTCAGGTCAAGAGCGGGGGAAAGAGAAGATCCTTCAGTTTTGGCTTGAGCGGGAGCGGATTCCACCGATCTTTTGCGGCCGGAACTATTTTTACTATTACTTACTTGTTTTCTTGTAAGGATCAGCGGCCTCTGAGTACCCCCCTATAAAAGGGGTCTTGGGTCATCAGATCAGCACTGGGAAAGGTGTAGTCTCTGTTCCTGTCTCGGCTTGAGCAGATTCTTCAACTGGACATCGCATTTTAGACGCGAGCTATATGCTTAACACACCCCAATCGGGGATGTCAAACGAGTAGTTCCTCTGGTGGCAAGCCTAAAGAGTCAAGTCAAAAGTTAGCGGAAGTCTACGTCCAGCTGCCATCCCATAGGGACGAAGCTCATCACTTATATAATAGTGCACCTCCGGATTGGCCAAAACGAGCAGATTTCTCCTTATCTTTTAGCGGGGGGGACAAGAAAGTCTTGGTTTTTACCGAGGCATTTAATTTAGCTGCTGTTGTCCATTTGATGAGTTGGATAAAGTCCTCCTTTTTATGATATGACATCCCCCAAGGGAAGCAGAGCAGCCAAAGGCTAGTCACTTTATTAAGGGCAGGGGAGTCGGTATGCCTCACTTACTACTACTCAGGTCCGAATACTTATAGGGCGGCCCCAGAATACTAGGGTGAATCCCTCAGAGCCAAAGACTTGAAAGGTGGCGGAATACTTTCTACTCGCAGGCTTCGAACCGACACCTACGAGTGATATTCCTTGAGCCGGTGGCAAGTGCGATCCTTATTTTCTTTCCTGGCAGGGGATTCAGAAGCAGGAGCTACAGCTACATTAGCTACAAGATTGGACAGTTAGCTGTATATATTGGAAGGGGGCCATGTCTCCCGAACATGAATGATCAGTACATATGGCGTGAGGCGCTTGCACATATCGAGGGCGGAAGGAAGGGATCGGGTGTTTTCACGCCTCGCAGTAGTGCCCGGCTTTTAAACGTCTATCTAACTTGTGGAAAACTAATACATCTGTTTTCCACTCCTGAAAGAGTTGCGCAGCACTTTCCTAATCTGATAATGTAAAGTTGAAGCACGGAATAAATGTATTTAGACTTCGGTTTAGAATCCTGCCCGGGAAAACGCGAGTGTGGCACCTTTGATGGCAAATCTGAAGCAAGGGATTCCTGGCGGCCGGGCAGAACAAAGGACTTGTGATCGGACCTCTGGCAAAATAGATCCTCTAGAAGACTTTTTCGTTCTTTTCTATTAGGTAAGGTAGTTTCTATGAGAGGGGCCGGGATTTCGTTGAACCAGATTCGGGAATAACTTCCTTTTTTGGCGTACCACTTGTTGGATAAAAGACTCTTTTTTATTGCATCCCCGAGGGAATGTAGAGTAGGCGCAAGTCATCACTTTCTTAGTACGGCTCTTGAGGTAGTATATTTCCATATATTTATGATTCGATAAATGCGAGGGGCCGATTACTGCCTTAACAGGATTTAATCTACTTTCTTTTCAGCTCAGCAAAGGAAGCGGAATACCTCGGACTTAATACTTGGAGGAGGTGGGTAAATACTAAAGACCGGGCGGATCTAGAGCGGCAGGATTCAAACTTGTACATATTAGGCTAAGTAACCGATGCCTGAACCTTGGAAAACAGGGGATCTAGTTCAAGGGCGTAAAAGTCCCTTTCAAGAGAATGATTACGGTTATGTGATCTGGTTTGGTTGCAATGCATTTCCGATGTCGATGTCGAGAGATCTGCCTATCGGGTGTACTTTCCCTCAGTGTATGAATGGAAGTTTGCGAGGTTGCGATGCAACACTGAAAGAAAGTCAAATCATGCACGCAATATGCGAAACACATGCGATTCGCATTGACCAGGCGGTCAAAAACAGGTAATTTGCATCGGTTTTGTCGTTATTTTAGTCGGAAAAGGCGGGAGGGATCGATCGGAACAGAATCTGGGGAAGGAATGCTAAAGAAAGAATAAAGAATTAGATCAACCTTTCTTTAAGAACGAAATATCGATGAATGATAACTGGAAGTTTTCAACTCCCTCACATCAATCCGAGGAAGAAAGCTTCCCCTTATGAAGTGGTAAACTCAGTCCTATGTCCTTCACGAAAGGTTCAATTTAGAACAAAGACTTATAGGGCATCTTACGGGACACTTTTCCCTATCTATTGATAGTTATATATCCCCGTCGTAAGCGAATGAGGCTCTTCCTAACCCACCCACCAGTCTTCTTGAAAGTAGACTACTCTTAGCTATCGGAATGGAAACCCAACTCGATGGCCTGCTTAAGTAAAGAGGTAGAACCAAGCGTTCTTTTCCTTCAAGATGGGAAGCCCCTATAGAGGATTGAATCATGAAGATTTGAATTGGGAACTGACTTCGCAAAGACGTCGAACTACCTAGCATTATTCTTGATAGTCAAAGCTTTTTCATTCACTGCCCGAGTAGAATACCTAGCGTTAGAGTTCAATCCCTACTTCTGTCCTATACCAACGAAGATGGGGTCCTACTTATGAGTTAGGTTGATGGACTGAAAAAATACCACGTATTCTTTTCTTAACTCATTTCCTGTGCGTCGGGTAAGAGCAGATAGGTTGGTGTCGAAGCCAAAGATAGCATGTCAGAGCTTATGAGTAAACCACTGTAGGGGATAATTGAATAAAGTATTGGAAGTCTTGTGAAAGCTTTGATGCCTTTTCTCTTGCCCTTTCGTCCTTTTGTCTTTCTCATTCGCTTGGGTGGCCTTAGAGTGCCTGCCGTACTAGCCTTGGGCCTAGGCTTGTGACTAGTCTGAGGAGGAGGAGTGGACGTCACAGAAGTCAATTCATCTTTGGGATAGATTGTTCTTTGTCTCTCAAGGGAAAGACTAGTGAAACCTCACTGCACTCATTACGTCATTCTATGTGGATTAAAGAAAGATGGAGATGGAAAGAGAAAGTCTGAGGTTAGAGGCGAAAGATGCTATGAGAGTTTGGTTTTCTAAGGAGTTGCCCTACCGACGAACTCTTCTGAAGTACTTATCTTCCCCCTCGGCCTCCATTATAAGTCGATTCTTTTCATGGGCGTCTTTGCTTTGTGCTATAAGTCAGTAAGTAAACTTAAGTGAGAGATCTAACTAAGAACTTTTCAAGAAAAATGTACTTTATACATAGATTTCTAAAGAAAGAGGAAGGCGCACACCTTGTGGAAGGGAAGAAAGGGAACTATCATAAGACAGAAGAAAGATCCGAAGAATTCTATTTACATAGGATAAAGCAATAGCTCAAAGGTTTGGAACGGCGCCTTTTTCTTCCGATCTTAGTGCAGCAACTAGGAGTTCGGATTGGTATTGCGTAGAAGATCGTAGAAAGGTCCTGTCTAAAACCCCAATGTACTTTCCTTGGCTCTTAAGCCGCTTTTTCTCATCATATTAAATAAAGGGCCATCGATCTCATCGATAGTTCAAGGTCGATGAATCTTTCTTAGCTCATTCATTCCCTCTGCCCATGGATTAAGAAATCCCAGTCATCAGGCTAACTTCTGTGTCCATCTTTTACCAAATCCCTAATCAAGGCATCATCTTCCATTAAATCCATTCTTTCTCGGAGATGCAATTTGACTAAATGATTCGTGAACTATCTGGTTGTTAATTAGAGAATCTTTTTCTTCTTTAATTTCACTTGATTCATCTATTTCTACCTGTCTATCTCAGACACAATGCGTTGATATCGCTCAACATAAAAGCTGCTTATCAAATGGGTGAAGATGGAAGAGATTGGTGGGATACCATTGGGTGAAACTCATTTTCCTTCCCAAGAGTGAGTTCCACTTTCACTCGAAGCAGGAAATCGAATAAAAAAAGCGAGACCTCATCCGAGGAGGTACAGAAAGAAGAAAAGGAGAGATTGACCAGCAGTAAAAGAGGATCAAGAGACTGTACTCGCCCTTCATCCCTCAACCATTCAACAGAAGCAATAGCAAAGAAAGCAGCAAGAGTGGAGAGAACAAGCTCAGCTTCGGCAACAGAAAGTCGAGAAAGCAATTCAGTTTGTGATACAGTGAAAGTCAAGGAGGAACCGGCCACTTCTTTATATACGTCGCCATTTGACGATCTGTCTTTAGTAGGTCGTCTATTCTTTCTTACCTCGGGATAGGAGTTCGATTCAAGCATCCGAACAAGAAAGCCAACTGGGTTCAGATAGCCCAAAGCACAAGCATGAATAGCGGACAGGGATATAGTAGAGTCAAAACTGTGAACTCATTTACTAAACTCAAAAAGAATCATTTTATTATTATTTCATTTCATTGGATAGGTCAGTGGCTAAAGTGCTCCTTAGTGAGGGTTATGTTAATGTTAAAGACAGGTATTTTCCTTACTATATGTTAGCGCCTATAAATCAAGACGCTTCTTCCAGTGCTTACCAAATAATGAGTTACTTTTTGCTTAACGAAGAAATGGCTATGAGAACCAACCTTCTACCCAGCCCTGATGGAAGGATACAAGATCTGTACGCCTGCATGCTTGAAGATATTAAGCCATATCTAAATGCTATCAATTCCGGATTGGTATCTGAAGTGAGAGTCGGAGATCACCTCTTTCAATGCGTACTTTAGACGAAGGCCCAGTGCTCTATATCTGATATCCTTTATTAAAGGAATTCTCTATAGTAAAGATTAATACGTGATATCTATCTTAAATGAAATGTTGCTTGCCTTTCTTCATTACTACTTTAGCCCGGGGACCTAAGCTTTGCTAAAGCCGTGAAAAGGAGTGGACGGTTGTATTTTGTTGGTCTAATTGGACTGGTTCGCCTAATCGAAGAGCCCCTTACCTTACTTCTTCACCGTATTAGACCTCCATATGTGTAAAGAGGGATACGAAAGAAGGACAGGAATGGTTCCACTAGCCGATGCTTATTGTTTTAACGGCCTATTTTTATATCCTGTACCGGCTCTTAGTTAAAGCGGTCGACCCCATATCCAATTCGCCGGGACACGCCAAAAAGGAGAAGTCAATAGAAAGCAATCTTGCGCGCTCTCTTTCTTTCCCTCTCATACGTTTTGTAGGACGCCCTTTCTGCCCCGGTAGCGAGGAGTTGACTTCCGGAATCAGTAGGTTGGTAATAATTTCATACATGATGTCATTCGTTCATCCGGGAAGTCGCTACTCTTACGTACGGAAATAGACCAGAAACACTTACTAGTACCAGTTCTATAACCTGCTCCATTGGCTTTTGCGTCTGTTTCGGGGTCAGTTGCTACACCAGAGGGAGAGGAAAATCTATTAAGAAAGATCAAAAGGCGAGAAAGCTGTGTTCATTCAGGCAGGGGTTTCTACGAAAGACCCGATTGCTGACTCTCAGGCATGGAAATCAAACTGGAATGAAACCTTCCTTCTGATTCTGAGATGCCAAGAACCCGGTCTTCTTGTTCACGCCTCAACTGCTAAAGAAAGAAAGAGATCTTCTTCCCCCGAAAGCCTATAAGGAAGAACTCTTAACAGAGTAGGTTCAGGAAGTCAAATCTCTAACTTCGAGTTGAAAACGGATTCTCTGGTTTCGTTTGATGCGTTGTTCTCTTACTTATGAAGCGAATACTTTTCTATTCTTTTCTCTCTTGATAACCCTTTTGGACTGTTGAGGGGGTGATTCTTTGATCTCTCCTGGTTCCTGAACTACCGTAAGGGGCTAGACGGGATGAGGAGATCAGATGCAGAAAGGAGAGTCAAACGGAGCCGAGTACTGATCAAGAGAGCTACTATCCACAAGCAGCTGGGAAGAGACCAAAACTGGAACTGCTCAAGATGCGTTCCAAACAACCTGAGCGGATCGTGTCGACCAACAACAGCCTCTCGTGTAGAAAAACTAGACTCGTGGGGTTGGTCTCGCTTCAACAATCTCCCCGGGCTTTCTTCACTTTTTATATTGCTTGGGATTGAATGAGCCTATCTGACAATTCGAATATGTGTATACATATGAAGTAGTCACTTTTTTGAACGCGAGGGAAAAAGAAGATAAAATAGAATTTCTCTTTGTTACATACCTTCTATTCTGTATACATCGGATTTCTTTTCGAATCTAAGATTTCATTCTCAGCGTAATACGCCCCAACTCTTAGCTCTTTGGTAGGAAGCGCAACTCAGCTAAACTAAGAACTCAAACAAGTCTAACTCATAGCACCTAGGACAGCAACTCTTAGCTTCCTTGTTTCATGATCAATCTCACTCTTAACAGGAGAGGTACTCGTAGCTCATAAGTCAAACAGGGGCTCCTAAGACCAACTCTGAGCTCTAGCTCACCCATATTTATTGTTTAGCTCTTAACTCCCACCTCCTAACTCCTAACAAACTCCGACTCTTTTCACACCTAACAAGGAACTCTGTAGTCAGGTGCCTTCGCGCACCCATATTTCGTTGTTTAGCTCAAATTGTTTCATTCACTCAGAACAGGGGAGGTGCTCTCTTAGAAAGAATAGATGAATCGGGTTTGACCGAAATAGAGAATTCTATAGATTACAAATCGAAGATAGAATTCGAAGTGTAAGTAGCCCAAACCTTATCTCGGGGTTGCTATTTCATTATATCGATAGGCAGCTCCTAACACAAAACAAATAAAAAGGGGAACCCGTAACTCCTCAACCACGTTGAGTTGTTTCCACTTCTAACTCTTAACAAGACAGGGACCCTAACCAAATACTAGCTTTCTCAGACTTACCGGAGTAGTAGTCATCAACAGAAGTAGGAACCCCCCCATCCGAAGCTAGTTCATCTTGTTGTTGCTAGCAAATACCGCTCTTTTTCGTCTCATATAGCTGTAAAACCTTGTAATTCGATTGTTTTTAACAATGAATCTGAGTCAACAAAATATCTCCTTTTCTAGTCTTCTCGAGCCCCTTTTGAAGTTATTGACCCCTCCTCCGCCTATTCTATTTGATTCTTTCGGTAGCCCCCTAGGGTGAAGTATACCTAGGATTCGTTTTCTCATCAAAGACGGAATTCTAAGAGTCAGAGTCAGTTGCCTTATCAGAGTCACCCCCAACCATATTATTCTCTTTAGTTCTAGGTCGCTCTTTCTAAGGAATAAAAGGGGACGAGCTCAAGCTCGAACTCTCTTGGCAGGAGGGTGCCCCCCTTTGGGAGTCAAAATACATTAGTGCGTTCTTCCTTTTCTCCTGTTTACGTCGTTGCTCTAACAAGTCAAACTCCTAACTCTTGACTCTTAGCTTCGGGTACGGGGTAGCCGGGTGAAACCCTTCCCCCAACACCTAATACCAACATTCTGGGCAGGAAGAGGAGTTCCATCTTCGATTGGAAGAGGCAGAGGGAGAGGAACTACCAAACGCGGATGTTTCGTTTTCATATAGGTGGAAAAGCGAATCTAAGATTCTCAGTGTCAGTTGCTATTTATAAGATAGGTTCCTAATATGAGATAGAATAGGAAGTGTAAGTAGCCCCAACCTTAGCTACGATAGGTTGGATTGGATTGGAATACATACCTACGCTATGCGTTCACTAACCCCTGCTCTAAGATAATATGAGACTTTGCCTCTGAAGTAGCTGTTCGGTTGAGCCTGTCTTTTCTGGTTTCAGGAGAAAGGGAAGCCCATTCCTTCTCTATAGTTGTTGTTCTTGTTCCCGGGTGCTGAGTTTGTCTTGTGAGACCCCTATCCTTTCTGTCTAGTTCCTCCCCAGTTCAGGGTGACTTCGTTCCCTCTCCTTGTTTGTTAGAGTTGCGCGTGCCCGAAGGGAGGGACCTTCCTGCCAAAGAGCTAAGAGCTCGAGTTCCTGTCTCAAGAGTTGGTATTATTAGTTGTTTGTCTTATTAGTTGGCATTAGGACTTCCTCTGACTCTTCTAATTCGAATCGTAGATTGTACTAGAAAGGGAGTTGGGAATAGATGAACTCGCATCGGATGCTGATATAGCTTTTGACTTCCACCCGTCTCCTTTTTCAGTTGAGTGACTTCGTTCCCCTTCCTCCCCCTGCGGTCTTAGTTCGGAGTTGCGCTTGTTCTGATGTCTTATGGGTTGGAGTTGAGAGCTATGAGCGAATGAAGCTATGTGACGTATTTCACCTTCCAGCCACGTACCTGAGTTCTTTGTTCTAGTTGCCCGTCTTAGGGGCTTTTGCTCCTCCCTAGTCTGAGTTGGAGGAGACAACCATGGTGAAGGGCACCCGGAGCCCCCCTTTAAGCATCCATAGCAGAATAGACCCTAGGTAACTCGAGAAAGAAAAGAAGTACAACCAATCGAATAGTAAGCAGGCAGGGAATTGAGCTCATAAAGAATGCAGTGACTGAAGCAATACGTATCCCATACTTTAACGTTGGATAAACCAACGCAATTGGATTAAAGTCTTCCCAACGAACTTTTCGAAGCGAAGTGAAGTCATAGAAGCTTCGCTCGCCTCTGTCTCTTTTTCCTTCCGTGGAGAATTCCTTTGTACTTGAGTGTCCCAGCCCGTAGGCAAGGTCCTTACTATATTTCACGCGAGGTTGTCTACCTCACTAATATTTGAACTGGAATGCCAGGCAGAGGAGCAAGCTTAAACCTTATCGTGCTATCCGACTTGTATGTTACAAGCATTTCATATTCGTAACTGATCCCTTCCTAGGGAAAGGTGTGTTCCAATGGCAAAAAAAGAGGCCAGCCGGGAAGCAGGATAGAAGTTGTACTATTGTCGCGAAACCTCCTTCCTTCAGCCGTTCTAACAGTGGAAAAAAGTCTTAGCCCACACTAAAAGAATAATAATAGTTAACTGGCGAAAAAAAGAGAGAGCATTGAGAGAATCGGTATGGTCAATGGTAATGGAGTGGGGGGTGCGAGCCCATCAACTGATCCGGCAGATTTTTTCCTTTCGACTCCTAAGGAAGAGGGTAGGAGAGCAAAGTGAGACTCAATTATATCGAAGCGAAGCGAAGCGCAGTAAAGTCAAAAATCAGGGTCGAGTGAAGGTGTAATTGACCTCAGAGAAATGAAAAGTCAAATCTTCAATCTGTCTCTGAAGCGATTCTAATGTATTCTTATCTTTATTATTAGAGAAAGGCGCGATGATAATTGCCCTAAAGCATTTCCCGAGAGTGAAGGTAAGGTTTGGATTACATTGAAAGGAAAGCCATAGGGAGGAGCAAGTCTCCCAGTTTTTGTGTTGTGCCAGTATCCTGCTTTAGGTCTTACGGTTTTAGGGCTTCAGGCCCGCAAGTCGCTGTCTACCCGATTGACGGTCTTCCAGTTCACGTTCTTTGGTTCCTTCAATATGCTCTTAGAACCGATTGGAAGGAGCGGAGCCACTCTTTTTATACTTACTTACTATGGGCGGGGATGCTTTTTGAAACGAGTGAATACGAGAGGTTTTTTTGGATTGTCGGCTAGCTTCCAAGCTTGCATTCCGGGAATTGGACTGGCTTAAACAGGATGACTCCGCCGCCCACTCGTACCTTGAAGTAGAGCCTTCCCCAAGGCTCTGTCAAGACCTCCGATCGGGGGAATCATGAGTTCCTGCCATGGAAAGTATATGTGAACAACCCTCAACGCCACTCATTTCTTCAGAAATGGTAATCAAACCACAAACCATAAGATCGGACGAAAGCAACTTAAGCGCGAATGGCCAATGTGATCCCCAAACTGCTATATGTTTTTGAATTTGGCCCAAAGCGAATAAAGAAAGCTAACAATGGAAAATGGAAGATAAAATAAAGTAGACAAAGAGAGAAGATTATTTTCACTCTTACTGAAATCGGATTTCCTTTTCGTGCCATATGCACTTAGCCTTTACTCTAGGATGAACTGAGCCATAGCTTCTAGGGCATCCCCAATCTCCTTGTGATTAGATCTGCTCGACATGCAAGTAGTCTATGCCTGTTCTGACACTCTTAAACCAGACAGTAAACTACCCTCCTCAACTATTCCAGACCAATCCCTAGAGATTAGCTTGGTACTTTCGCATGATCGGTACAAGCATCCGGTAGAGTTAGAGAGGAAGACCTATCCGATAAAGTAAAGTGCAGTTGGTTTCGCTTTATCCAAATAGTTTGGCAGGAGCAACTCCCTAACCGCATAGAGGTTTCTTATGGCATCGAGTGATATCTGCCTTAAGAGTCTTGTGTGTGGTTAATAGCCTAGAGGATCTCTGATCCCGAGCGATGATGCAGGTATCTGCTAACCAATGCAACCGGTAGGGGTTTTGTAGAAAGATAGGTTACCATCTTCCTTCAGTCTTTCGTTTGTCTTACAGGTATCTTTGTACTGTGCGTCAAAGTTTTGGTTGATAGAGTCCGACTGGGATCCGTGTAAATCAATTGCTGTTGGTTAAGGGTCGATGTAATTGAGAAAAAGGAAAGGTCGAAAAAATGATTAAATCTGACTTTCTCGGTATTCTGGATTGAGTAAAAAAGGGATGAAGTTCAAGGCCTTGCCAAGGTCTAATATCCCACGGGACAATGTGTCCAAACTTACCCGGTGGTCTCTTCGGGGACTTCTCTCTGTTTATCAAATTCTAACACTCGAGGAGCGATAAGTCAGGGTGTCCTGGTAAGCAAACAAGCAGGCGCCAACTCCCAGTGCTTTCTCTTCTCTCTTTTTCAAGTCACGAGCTGGGCTCGAACCAGCGCTTTCCGGATGCATGGTCCGGATTTCAACCTTTCTGATCGTGACTTTGGTAACCCAACGAACGAAGCGAAGCGCAGTGAAGTCATAAAAAAGTTGAGGAAGTCTAAAGTAGTAAGCCAACGAAGAGTGCGAAGTCCATGCTACCCCCTTTTCTCGAGATGCTATTCGACATACACCATATCTTGTCACGAGCTTATGCCCAGTCTCCCGCCCATCCATGGTCCAACTGCCACCAAGCCCTAGAAAGGATGCACGTGACCAGGGTCGATGTAATTGAGATATCCACATTTGGCGAAAAATCTGTCCATGCTCATCAAAAAACTCCATATAGGTCTTCAATCCTCATCTTATTACTAAGAGGAATGCTTCCTAGAAGGAGAGCTGCAAGAAAGCATTCGTCAATCAGCTCAGGCGCTTTTAAGCCCAAGTGCAATTGATCGTAGGGCTGAAAGCAGACAGCCCTTCCTTCCTGCTAGCTATAAGCATCCTCATCGCAGGCGGACTCGGCGTCAAGCCCGGACGGTCAACCGCTTAACCGCCTCGACCAACAGGTTCATAGCCGAATCCATCCTTATACGCGGCGAACTACCCGAATTGACTTTACTCTACTTACTATAATGGAAAGAGTATAGGGCTGAGCCTTTAGGCGAAGTGTCCATCCCTCCGGGAATAACATACTCTTCCTTGTCACTAAAAGACCATGAGTACCGGCTGGGCTACAGTAAAGGGTGGGATGAGTTTGGTTTTGAATATACAGCTCACAGTAGGGGAGGTTACTGCTGCTTTCTTGCTGAACTCAAGCAGGAAGAAGGATGATAGGGTGCTTGGCAGCCACCCCCGGCTCAGGTGGTGCGAGTGAACACGGATGGTGCTTCACGTGGGAATCCGGGTGTGTCTGGGGCTGGAGGGCTTATATGCATGAGGGGCAGTGGGTTGTTGGCTTTCAGGCATATTTGGGCCTCTGCTCCAATAATGTGGCGGAGCTGCAGGCTTTCTCCTATGGGACTGTTATTAGCATGGCAGTATGGATATAGAAGGGTGCAGTGTTCGGTGGATTCCAAGCTATGTGGCTGTCTCATCCCGAGGCGACCGGTAAGCGAGAGAGATAGATAAGCGGCCGTTACCAATAGCATCTTATAAAAGAAGTTAACAACTCACTATCTCTCGATGGGCATTCCCTCATTGAAACTAACACCCGCTCCATAGGTTTTGACAATTTCTTCATAGGTTTTCAATTTCTTCATTAAGATTTGGTTCTGATTTGAATCTCAATAGCTGTCGACTAAAGCAAGAAATCAGGTTCGATGTAATTGTAGTGAGGTCTTGGCGGTTATCAGAGAGGAGGCACGCGGACCCGGGCTATTCTAAGCGTAGCTACTTACCTTTAATGGTGTATTGTTCAGTGATGGGACTGGGGTTGGGGAGAAGAAACTACCCCTTACTGCTTTAAGCTCCTGTGAATATCCTCTGCCTTCCTGCCTATAGGAAAAAATTATCCATATGGAGACATCTAACCTAGACACATCGGGATTATCTGCCCAGTTGCCCGTCCTGGCTTATGAATTCAAACATACTCTATATGAATTGACCCAGGATTTGACTGAGCCGCATTTCGATCAAACCTCCTCGGTGCCACATCAGCCTTGCTTTGCTTGGAAGCTTTCCGTTGCTACAGTGATCCCTAGTGGCAGCTTAACTATCAGCTATAGCTACGGAAGATATTGAGTGAGCTGATGAGATTGATTGAGTGAGAAAAAGAATAGAGATAGGGGAGATCCATTCAACCCTTTCTGTTTGTGACCGCTTCATAATCTGTTGCTGATGGCATCTCCTGCCCGATGGCAGCCTTGTTCAGTATGTAGAAAGAGTATAGGGCTGAGCTGTAAAGCGAAGAGCTTTACTGGGTATACTAAGTATAGGTATAGGTTAGCAGCGAAGAGGACGTTAAGCTGTGAGCCGATAGGCAAAGAGTCGAAAGATCATCCTATGAAACATGCATTCAATGCAACTATAAGATATTAATATCATCAATTCATCTATACTCATAAGAAACTATAAAGAGATAGAGTGATTTGGGTTTTGGCTTCTATGCTGTTAAATTCGAGGACATGGATGATCGGGGCCTTCTGACTTCACTTCGCTTCGCTTCGTTCGTTGGGTGGACATTCGTAGTATAGGGAAAATCATGGATCACTATTTGACTAATAAAGGACTCACTTCCGGTCTTCTCCAGCAATCGTGCCTTCGACGGCAGCGTGGATTTTCCGGAATGCCCAGTTGAGTACTTTTGAAGAGGACTTGTTGTTGGAGGCAGCAAAGCATATAGGCACCCCGCTCAAGATCGATAGTACGACGGCTATGGCTTTCAAGCAAGATTTGCGTCAGTGTGTGTTGAAGTTGATCTTCAAAAGCCCCTCCTTTTCCAAAGTCTGTATTGGGTATGATGTGCTCAGGGTCGAGTACGAAGGCTTACACACGGTTTGCTTCCCCCTATCTTGGTTGGGGGGTATTGTTGGACATAGGTCGGAATTCTGTCCGGTGCGCCTTACCGGTGGGGCGTCTGAGTCTCCGATAGACACTCCTACTCTCCATCTTCCTCAACCAGCTGTGCATGGGGCTGCGTTAGCCATGGTCCGGGCGGACCCTCCGCCGGTAACGAGTCATTCTGGTGGCGATTCTTTTGGACCTTGGCTCCTAGGGCGGGTTTTTCGGAATTCAAATAGCCTGGGGTGGACGGGGGCTAAGATAACTCAAATGGGGCGCAAAAATATGGGGATAATAATCGTTTTGCCTCGCTTAGCGAAGTCCATAACTTCTGGATGGAGCTTTCACGAATCAAAGAAGAAAGTAGCAGCTCCCAACATTTCCCAGATACCACTTCCCATAGCAGCTGAATGATGTGAGTAGCCAATTCACACTCCCAAAGTCCCTTATTTTTGACTTCACTGCGCTTCGCTTCGAAAAGTTTGTTGGGTTCCAAGTTCGCCGATAGGCAGGAGTAATACTTTACTATATTTCATTTTGCGAGGAACAGCTTTTGTTAAGCAGCGAATTCAGCCGAAAAGAGCTGAGCAAAGTAACGAATGAAAAAGAAAAAGAAAAGAACCACTATCGAAAGAACACCCATCCCAAAGGTTATTTATAGATATTTGAAAAAGAAACCAAGAATAGGAAAAGAAGACCTCTCGACCAGCCGACGCCTACCTTTCCTTTAGAGCGATCTCCCGTGGTTCTCAATGTGACTCACGAATACCACCCACTAGGAGTGGATCTTTGAGTTGTAAACGGCAGTTCCATATCGAAGTTAGGTTGAAAGCAATTAGTGGTTTTTCGCTGGGAACCAACAAGAGCTCTAACTCATGTACCGAAGTAGAGTTCTTAGTTTCAGTGTAGTGTACCAGTATAGCAACATCCTTATCTCTTAGAATATCCTTTTGGGGGTTCACCGATAGGCGAGCAAGCTGATATCCTTTGTTAGGCTCATATGAAGAAGGTGGCTCTTAGTAAGGCGAACGACGGGACTTGTGAGTGGTATATCTGTCTCTGATACTGAACTGAACTTCTAAAGATGCAATTGACCTAGTTTCTTTATGGGTTAAAGACTCTCAAACTACAGTGAGATAATTAAAGGCAGGGATTGACTCTATGGCTATTGCGCTTTTTCCGACAGCAGCTAACTCACTGGCACGCTTAATGCCCTTGCGCCTGTCAAAGCCAAAGCCTTGGGCTTGAGCCGGCCTTGCCTCTCTTTGAAAATGCGAAACAATAAAGAGCGGCCATCAAGATCGAAATCGATGGCACTCGCCTTCTTTCAGCATTGAATCAGTAACTTCCTTCACTCCTGAGCTCACCTTTCCCGTGAATGAAGAGAATGAGTCGAGTCCTTGTTTTGTCTATTTCCGCTACCTTCCCTGAAGAAAGAAGACTGAAAGATCCGCTCCCCCGAAAAGGAGGAAAGTTGGGGCATCCCTGACCCGCACACCACTGGGATTGCCCTTCATCTAAGATAAGGCCCCTTCGTTAAAGACCGATACCTGGTAGCTTCCTTTCCTTTCAGTCGAGCTACCGCGTAGTGGGGGCACCCACGTGCTTTCTTTTTGCTCGCTCTCGTTCTACGCGTGACCCCATCCCATATAAGATAGAAGGAGCTTCTTTACGGTGATGAAGAGGCATGCTTCGCTGCCCTGTTCGTACAGGGAAGAGAAGACGATTAGCCGCAATGCAGACGTTGCTCCGGCCGAATAAACTCCGAAACGAAACTCCCAACCCGCTCCCCATTCCCTGACCTGGCCCAAGGGGCATTGATGAAAGTTGGTTTGATCCCTAAAATCAACAACTCGACCTTAACACATGCCGTTCGGTGAAGTGTTAGATGCCCTAGCTCGCGGTGAAAGACATTAGCGAGAGAAGCTCTTCATTTCCTTCTCCCGGGCTAAGCCCTATTCTTAATCTATTCATTTCTACCTAGAGCGGAATAACTTAGATCCCATGCTTCTACTTTACTGAGCTCATTTCCTTTGGTGCCCTAAGCGGAATAGACTATATAGCGATTAACTGGTTGAGATGGTAGCGGGTTTCACTCCCTAATGAGATGGGATGCGCTACGAAAGCAAGGAGAAAGACTACGTTCCTTATGTCCACTCCTAGGCTTCCTTCTTTATAGAATATGATTGTCGGTCTTTTGATAGATACTGGCCATGGCACGCACTGAAAGATCGATGAACAGTCCCAGCGTCATCATGCCCTCTTCAGAGCGAAAGTCTGGGAAACTCCGAGGATCGATGTAATTGAGCTTTTCGAAGCGCAGTGAAGTCATAGAAGGACCTAAAAGAAGTAAACTACTACTTAGCTATGTAGTACTGGATAGCTTACTTTTACTTACTGTAAAGGGTTACCTGAGGAAAGTGTTCGACAGTGTTGACTGTCCTAGAAGCTGCCATGCTGGCTATGTGCTTCCCCCATAAGTGGATCGAATGAATAAGGGCCCGCATTACTACCCTAAAATATTCCATTGTTCTCAATTACCCTCCACGCCTATTTCCCCAGTAGTAGANGGTCTCAGGCAAGGCTCGATGTAATTGACCTATTTCTTTTCCATTGTTATGGAATGTCTATCCTTGCTCTTACAAATCTGTGAGGAAGCGAAGGTCAAAAAGGTCCCATACTCTAAAGATGGGGTCTCCGTTTCCCACCTCCTTTTTGCTGATGATCTATTCCTCTTTTTCCCGATCCTAGTCAAGCCCCCCGGGCTGGAAAGAGGGCAACTTCAGATCTGACCTGTAATCCTAGCGGCTTGAAGTAAGACATGGTGAGGTTTGAGCGCGCTCTATCGTCCCTATATTTATCCTTCCCATCCAAAAATGCCCGACTTTACTTATTTTTGAAACTTAGCTCTTTTTGCTTTCTTTCCTAAAGTCTAGGGTGAAACCCGAAAGAATTTCCCATTCATTGGGAGGAGTTTCCGCTTAGACCCTGTGAATGTTCCAGTTATTGATGATGCCGATGAACCCCTTTCATAAGCGCCACCCAGAGGAGGAATAGGCAGTTTACTTTCTTTTGACTAAGTCAAAAAATTTTTCCATTCTTTGAAAGACTGGTGCTCATTGAGTTCTATATCCAGTTGCCCGAGCTGTTTACATCGTTGACTCAGAACACGAGGTTCCGCACCACTAGTCCCGGCAGCTTCTTCACCACCATAGGAAAAAAAGATTTTTACGGGAAGTGTTTGACTCGTGTTTAGGTAACCACTGTACCAATGCTCTTTGTTATCATCGAAGCGGGGACTAAAGTAGCTCCGGCCGGGGCTTTTTTGACCTACGGTTACCTGCAGGAACAAAGCTGAGATAGCGCATCCATCTTTGAGAGCGGGGCGTAGAGATTTATACGTCTTGCTTCGACCAACTTTGACTTCACTTCGCTTCGTTCGTTGGGTGAGACTCCGGAGGCATTTCTCTTTCTGCAATGGACTCTTCTGATATTGTATGCTTGCAAAGGCCTTATCTCATAGTACTATGAAGCAATGGGCGTATCTCGTATGCCTGCAAAGCCTGTCCTTTGACCGGCCTTTCAACTCCGCCTGCATCAGTCTTTTATTCTACGTAATCTTGGGCTCTTTGAGGGAGTGGTCGGAGCCTCGGCATGGCGTCTTCCGATCGACACGTAGCAGCCTAAACTCAATCTTACGGATCCTTTTCCCTGATTTTTCATCGATCAAAAGAAGGCATTCCACACTAAGATAAGAAAAAGGCCTTGGTCAATGACCAGGTCAATTATATCGAGCCTCGTAGACGGTTTTTGAAGAAAGATAGAACCACAGGATCGTTCTCCATTGGGATGACTAACTATTCTAGTAAGATAAAAGAAAGGGCCTGGAGAGTGAGATGCAAGCTTTAGGGTTCTGCTACGCAGATCCAAAAGGGAGGTTTTGCAGACAGATAGATGGCGATAGCTTTCATTAAGTAGATGAAAGATCCAGGGTAAGGCGCGATGATAATTGCCCTATTCTGGCTAAGGTTTTCTTCACGAAGTACGCGGACCGATTCTTCTCTCTTCATTTGCTTAGTCAGCTGCGGCTTCTTCCACTTCAAGGCCCTAAGAAGGTCAGTTGACGAAAGATCTTTGACCTAAAGACCATGGAAAAAGAGTGATTACCGCCTTGTCCCTCTTTGCTACTCTAAGAAGCAAATTCTCAGATGTGACTCTTCCCGGCCTGGCCGCTTAGTCGCAGGAGGATTCCCCAACTGAGGAAGAATAGGATCATCCCATCTATGATAATCTCTGGGAAAGCTCTTGTCGACTCAACCGATCAATAGAAGGACATCCTCGTCGAGTTCTTGCATGCTAGCAGTGAGAATCTCCTCTGCTGTGAATCTGATTGAAGAAAGGCAGCCGAAGCAGAAATGGAAGGCTGAAAGAGTACTGGGGCTTCTACGTCAACATTTCTACAAAACATCCTCCAAGAGACAAGTAAGTAGCACTTTGACTAGGACAGTCCACTCCGGAGGGAAAGAAGGATGTCAAATTACCTTATTCCGAAATAGGTATCCAGATTCTACCGGCAATGATCACTGGAGAACTCAAAGAGTGCTACTTTAGCTATATGCTTAACACATGTAAGTCGAACGAGGAGAAAAGGCGGAGGAAGTGTAGACCGTTTGAGTCAAATGTTGATTTCGACACTCGCTTAGATAATTCGAGAATGAATGAAATCTGGAATCCCTGGTAAAGGGAGTCAGCGCAAACGATGAAGTCAAGCTTGGACCTATCTTTTTTAATACCGGGTGATGGCCCTCCTGCTAAGTTAGCTAACACAGTAGAGGGGGAAGAGTTGCTTTTAGGGTGAGGTCATGAAGTCATTCAACAGGAGCAAAAGAAAAGGGCAAGTCACATCGGCTGAAGATCTCATACGTACCGTACTTCCTAAAGATGCACTAGCTGTCTCGATTATAACATCACTTCCCCTGGCCACACTAAGGTGGACTCGATCGTCTAGTCTTTCCTTCCTCTTTCGATGTTATGTATGCTTTCATTTCAGTTCAGATCAGATAGGATGGTAGGATTGATGGTATGCCATCGCTCAACTCTATTGACTTGAGACTAGGTTGAGGGAGTCGATCATTTGTAGATCGAAAGGGCGCTCATTCCCTTGCGGGAAAATGACAAATGACAAGATTGGAATGGATTTCTAGAACGGTTGAATCAAGCAAGAAAACTGCATGCAAGCCTAGTTACCCACCAGGGTGAGGAACGAAGTACTCGACTCGACTGTAAAGTAGAGGTTTGAAGAAGCGGAATCATTGTCATTTGGCTAAAGCAAACGAATAGGAGGAATTCATCTCTTTCTAGCTCTCCTCGGTCGGGTGGTAATTGACAACCAGACTTCCTCTTCTCCGGCTTCAAAGCCGGTTACATTCTTTCTCCGAGAAGCCTGTTATAGAGCATAGCCAAACCTCGCTTCCGGAAGTTCACTACAGAAAGGAGGCTTTCTTTAAGACTTCCAAAGCCCAGAACAGCAGAAGTCGTTTTATCTGTCACGAGCGCCTACCCGAAAAAGAGAGGATTTTCTCAAAGGTTCTTTCACTCTCTTATTACTACTACTTTACTTCTTTTCCTACGAGCTTACTTACTTTCCTTACTGAACTGAACGGGGCGAGCGGAAAGAGCTCTGTCTCGGCTACTAGCTATAGCGGTTCTCTGTCTGCTGCCGGTTGTCTCGGCTCTTTTCCCTGAGCTGTCTGCGGGCTAGCGCTATCTTATCTGCTTTGTCTATCGAGCGGTCACGGTGAAGGGAAAGGAAGCCATTCTTGCAATTGCTGACTAGTCCTATAAGTTTTTGACTTCACTTCGCTTCGTTTGTATCGTTCCTTTCGCGTTATTTTCCAATCCGCTTACAAAGAGGGGTTATGCCACAAAAGATCGTAGGTCGAAAGCTAGGCCNTCTAGTTGGTCGTCTCTCTCTTCCCATCTTGATCGCCTCTTCTCCGTATTTCGCACCGGTGGATGTCGTCACCTGTGGTTAGGCGTGAGCTATTCATCAGACTGCCCCTCCAATGCCTTTCTCGTACCAGGAAGCGATCGCCCCCCTTTTGCTGTAGTGTAGGCAGATCCTTTTTGTCCTTCTATGATGTCTGATCAGTGGTTAGGAGCTCATGTTAGGAAGATCTCTGGGCTAGGAGTTTGGAGGCCATTGCGTCGTATCATCAAAAAAAGAACTCCGGATCGGCTTTGGTCGCCTTATCTCTATATTTCCCTCTCCCCTTGCGAGATATGAGATGTGGGTTGCGCGCACTCCCTTCACGCATAGGTCCTTCCCTACAAAATCAAAATCGAACCGGGTCGTCAATTTCCTCTCTCCTCCCCAGAGATTTCACTTCGCTTCGCTTCGTTTGTATCTAAGAACCTTCCTCCATACCTAGTGTGAAGCCATACTCCTAAAGAGCGAGTGTTCAGTTCCGCCCATACCCGTATTTCTAAAGCCAACCTATGCCTCCTGCCCCGTAGAAGGTTATTCTTAACTTATCACAGAACTCAATTACTTCCTTACCTCTCCCCTTTAGTATGCTACGCCAGGTATAAGAGTCCGAAGGACGAGCAACCACGGAAAAAAAATCAGACTTGCGCAAATAATCTTCAAAAGATCCACCGCTTCCTTAATAGTGATTATAGACCCGAAAGGGCAAATTTCTTTTCTTTAGGTCCCGAATATTGAGGCCTCCAGCGCTCTCACCTGATCCTGAGCCAGAGGCCCCCGAAGGAGACATCATGTTACACGACTCTTCAATGAATAATTTAAGAGACCATGCAACGGCCAAGGCTAGCCCACCCGAGAAGCCCATCTTGATCAATAAAGACGAGATGGTGCGGCTTCCCGCGGCTATGAATGCCTTCGAAAGGTAAAAGTTATTTCCATTTGTCCAAGAACCATAAAGATGGGAGTAATAAAGGCAACGAGGAGCAGATACGGGTAGAAAAAACGGACCTTATTTACTAGATCCTTTACATAAAAATAAGGGTAAAAAGCAATTTTATCCATCTCTTTAATACGATCACCATAACGGTGGCTACCACCATAGTCCGCTTTCATACATTCTTTTTTTGCTTACTTTTTGAGGATTGAATAAAATATAAAATACACTAGCTATATGCTTAACACATGCTACTCGATGTTGCCCTTTCACAGACAGATTACTCTACCGATGACCAAAGATAGGGCTGCCCCGAGCCTTGATCCGATCATTCGAATAGGGGATCTACGAACCCCGATGCCCCATGAGTATCTCAAACAAAACATCTGGGGCATTCTCCCTTCTTTATTAATTTTATACAAATCCAATGAATAGAATTAGTGTAAAACAGCTGCCGTAAATACCAACATTTGATGCTCCACGCGTGTTGATCGATGATGTAAATGCCCCTTGCTATACATAGAGCGGAAAATGAAGCAAATTTCTGATCCTCGGCTTATCGAATATCCGAGTGGAATTGCCTTATAAAGGGCAGAGGCTCGCTGGAATGCTTGAAAGCGGATCTTTCCATCTCGTGAGTAGCTCTTAGATAGTTCAAAACCGATAATGAATAGATTCAGGACTTATTCGATGAGAAGGAATTGGATCAGAAGCATCGAATGCTATTGTTACAGAATAGGCTGCACCATTCATGCACAGACTAAGCTGTTGTCGGAATATGCTCTTCTGCAAGAGGGACTGATTGACCACAGTCTGTAAGAATCCGCAGTGTTGATAGCCACGAGGAGGAATTCCATGGCATTCATAGGCTCTTAGGCTGGTGGAAGGCGTACTGAGAGAGAAAAAATGACTTGCCCACTAAAAATGCAAGCTCGTTGTATTAGCTTATTACCCTTTAGCCCTAACCCCTTTGACCTAGCTGCCTTCCTATCGGGATCGGGGGAGACTTTTGAATAGGCCATTTTCTATATTTTCTTTGACCGCGTGAAGCAATACCACATTCTCAATACCCCGGAAGAGAGCGATGTAGGGCTAGGGCTTCGTTCTTCTCTTGTTCCTCTTTTTCCATACGGTATCGATGGGCCGATCGTTCCCCTTCCTCTGGTAAACTAGCAAATAGCATTTGCCTTATAAGTTGCATGTCAAAAGGAGAAAGAAGAGAAAACAGAAGCGCAAAAGACCAAAAACCCCAAAAAGCCTTTCTATCCTCGGAAAAGTGCTCTTCAAGAACCCTTCCCAGCCTTGATTGTTTTCATGGCTACTAGATAGAAGAAAAAGGGAAAGCCAAGTAAGAGGCGAGACAGCTCCAATAGCAGCGGTCAGATCAGCCATACGTCGGTTCATTCCTTCCCGGTAAATCCATTTTGAGAAGGCAAAAGAAGTAGGAGCTTAAGGAGGAAGTCAAAGAGATATAGAATACGACGGCTATTTGGAAGATGATATATCGGCCCTTTGAAGCAAGCGAATCAACCACCTAAGCGGTTTAGTACTCGTCTGCTAAAATTCTCTCCTCTACGGGCAAGAAAAAGCTGCAGAAGGCAAATGATCGTAGTAAGAGTAAGCGCTCTTTCTTGGATAGAAAAGAAGTTAAAGGCTAGCTCAAAAAACGAAGAAATGCCATCGGGAAGGCGGATTTACCTAAAGCTGAATCAGGCTCCGTGAGGGCATAAGCAGCTTCGGCTCAAACCGAATGGTCAAAGACTGGTAGTTCATATCTTCGGCTAAGGCAAGCGCTGAAAGAGTAAGCGAAAAGTAGGTTCTTCGTCTTGTTACTTTCCGTTCGCGTACTGGTATTATCTCCTCTCGCAGCTTCACCTCAAAAGTCCAGTGCCTGTTAAAGATCTGGTTTACCGAGTAGTTTTTATTTTCTTTTTTTAAAGTAAACCGATTTCACTGGATTCGTTGAAAGAAAGAAAGTTATTCAGGAATATAATATGGTTAACTCAGATTATGGCGAGTCCTATTCCTTATACTATTGATGCAACCTTTTAAACCGACCGGCTATTCCCAAGGAGGCTGACTCTAGTCCCATCTCTTCACGAATTCGGGACGGCAGCAAATCCCGTAGATGTAGATGTGATCTCGGATCTAGTCCTACCTGGCAAGGTCAATTACATCGAACCTCCCTCCCCCTCGGGCGTGGGTCAAAAAACTCTCTTTCAAGTCCCATGGGCACACCACACTTAAACTAGGATATTCCCCGCATCGAGCAATAAAATAGAGTCGGCATTACATCTCTCTTGTTCAATGAAGCGTCTTAACATCGATGAGCTAAAGTAAGCGTTACTACACTTTGTTGATGCAACGAACTCTTTCTATTCCACGAGCAGGCACCTTTCGCCGCTAAAAGGCTATTATGGATCACACCTCCACCAGGTCCGAGGCAGGATCTTCCGAGTTGGCATGAAGCCTATTCTGTTGATTCACTGTCCATCTTCGATTCGACTGATGCCATACTTTCTTATAAGATGCATAATCCTCCCCCAATTTAGAATCTAGAGGCTACAAATAAAGATTTAGAATTTAAATTCAAAGGCCTTAATCATATCCCAGGCCGTCAGATTGCTTTTGATGCTTCCTAGCTTAAGAATCAGTAATTGTATGCTATCGAGTGTTATCGAGGAAGATTAAAGACATGGGCAGAATCCTCTCTTTCAAGATTAACGGCCTATTAGGCGAGATCCAAAACATCGCCATTGCTGCTAGCTATAGCCATGGCAAATCGGTATGATCCATTGCCTTTACTTTGTTTAGCATCTAGCCTCAATTACACCTTTCCGAAGGAACTCTTTGACTGAACTGAACAAGCAACGGATTGAGCAACTAGCGCGAAAGCCGTTGCGCGTTAGCGCATCCGTTTTCTTGCTGCTTCGTTTCGTTTGTATCTAAGAACCTGACTTTTGACAATTAAGTCATCAACGTAAACGACCATCGTACCATCTTGGATCAACTGATGAAACATCTTATTGACCGGTAGGTAGCACCTGCATTTTTAAGACCAAAAGGCATTACTTCATAACAGTATGTGCCCCGATCTGTGACAAAAGATGTTTTAATCTTGTCATCTTCAAAGATGGGACAAGTCTAAACCTTGAGCTGCATCCAAAAAGCTATATGGTTGATGACATACGGTGGCATCCACCATATCATCTATATTAGGGAGTGGGTAGCTATCCTTTGGACAGGCTTTGTTTAAGTCAATGAAATCAACACGCATTCTGAACTTACCGTTGGACTTTTTAACTAAGACCACGTTTGCGAGGAATCTGGGTAATGAACTTCCTTGATGAACCCAACTGATTCTCGCATCATCAGAAATGGCTTTCTGCCTTTCGGATGCAAACCTTTTCTTTTTCGACTTTACAGGCTTAGCATCTTTGTACACGTTCAACCGGCATCACTGGGTTCCAAACCCCCATTAGGATGTATAGCAAATGACGATGCATTACGCTCCAGCACATCTCTCACAAAGAGGTCATGGTCTATGTTCATCTCCGTACCTAGCTTGACCTCTTTGTGATTTCCTAGCCTAACCTTGTTCAGGTCCCCCTCCCTTGAACCTGAACTGGTCGAGAGAGCCGCACCACATTTGAGTTCCTCCGAATCATCAACAATTCTCATTGCCTCACCTTCGTCGAACCTCTCATCTTTCTATTTGTGCTAAGGAGATTCTGGTTCGCCCATTCGCCCGTTCGTTCGCTCCTATTCGAACTAGCTAGACCGCGGAAAGAAGAAGACAAATGAGTTGTTTAGAAAGAAGATTACAACTATGGGGGGACCCACCCTTTCTTCTTTCTCAATCTTTGGAGAATGCTGCTTACGAGATTCTTGGAGGAAGGTTTCTCAATTACATGGATCCTGATCCTGATACAAGGTGGACTTCTACTTAGACGGGGTCTGTGTCCTGACGTCGGAGTTTGTTCCCACTTCTCTCTTCTTTTTAGACCAAGTGAATTACCGGCTCCCCTATCTACAAAGGGCGAAGAAAAGCTTATTTCATTATTTTCTCTAACAAGTCTCACTTCGCTCTCCTCTCCTTTTAGTCGAGCATATGTTATAACCTTTTTCACTCTTTTCCTTCACTTCGCTTCGTTTCGTTTGTATGGTCGAGTATCTGAAAACCTGACAACCTCTGATAAAACTACCTCAGACCACTACGTGCGCAATACCTTCTTTAGGAATTGATGCTCTGGTCTTCCCCGTTAACATAAGGATTGGGTAAAACTTGGACCCAACGAAGACTACTTTGCCGAAATCTATCACTATAAGAAATCCGCCTATTATGAAACGGCATAAAATGATGTGCGCCATAGCTTCCAGGTTCTCATGGTAACGGGTAACTTTCCTATTCCTATTAGTTAGGAGTGGAAGCCAAACCCAGTCCTCTCGCCAAGCAGCTTCGCCCCTATCGACCGACCTTGCACTACTTTGACAACTAAGTTAGCACCAGCTACTATGAAGAATGGTCATAAAGTAAAGGTCCTCTTTTTGAAGCAACACAACATACCGTGACAACCCACACAGGAGGGGCTTCCTGCATGAGACAAGGGGCCAATACATCTGACCAAGCTGATCTTGCACTACTTATCCGATCCTCTTCTCCAACTTTCCTCGGATTTACTGTCGAGGAGCTTATCTGTACTCTCTTGTAGTGATCAGTGCATTCATGTGGAAGGCTGGTTGGGAGAGCTACGATTTTCCTTCATTTCGCTTCGTTCAAGTTGGGTCGAGCCTTTATTCTATTTCATTGGCCTTGGGAGAGCACCAATAGTGCGCTATGAGAACAGGTCCTAGCTATCTCCGACCGAGGAGCAGTAGAGCTTGATGGTTCGTGGTTGAACTACCTCTAGAAAGAGTAGAGGTGACGAAGTAGGCTCGACGCGAGAGGAGAGGTCAATGTGAGAGCCCAGTCGTTGTGGAGAGCCGGCTTCAAGCTTCCAATGCTGCAGAGACAGGTTATGGGAAATAACGGGATATCTTGTTTCCACAGCGCAGACCTGCACTTTCCACGCCGCCTGTCGGAAAACCTTTCTTGCTCTTGTAAACGAAAATTAACAACTTGCAAGCGGGAAAAGACGGTAAAACGCGTTAGTTCAAGGTCCCAGAGTTGGAAAAGGATGATGGTACGACTTGTCCGAATAGCGATCTGGTCATGTTGACTGAACTTCGCTTCTAAAGTTGGTTCGATTACATTGACCACAGGCAATGAGATTCTTACTAGTTGGAACTTCTCTCCCGATTTGGCCTTTGGTTCGCTTTGTTGGGTACTTCGTTCGAAGATTTATTTCGTGATAAGGGGGGCCGCTCTAGCTAGTGGAACACTTTTCATATTTCTCTTTTAACCATGAGAAAAAGATGTCACCTTTCTTTCTTTCGTTGGACGTGGGAGCTGCCAGAGTGTGGGTAAAAGTACCGCTCACCATAGAGAGCAAATTCTATCCGAACTCGTCTTTCATATACCCCCGCTGATTCGGATTTCCTATTATTGAAGGAATCAAACTGCTATTCCTAATGACTAAATGTAAAACCTACCGAAATGGCTCTTTAAAGAAGGGCTTTATTCACAGCACAGGATTCTATGACTTCACTTCGCTTCTAAAGATGCAATTGACTCTACCATAGTACGAGGGTGAAGCGCCTGATACATAGCTCCGTGACTACAGACTGAATCATGAGCTAGGAGGAGTACGAGTGATGGGAGGGAATGTTCGATTGCTCGTTCGCGTCAGTCCTGCCTGCCTGTTGATTCAACTTAACATAAAGCATTTCACCTTGGGGACTTTGATCAATCTTCCTCACCCGGTTTAGATTTCGCAGCCAGGTGGGGAAGTCAACCCGAATTTGGCGGAGGAAGGAACTGGCTATAACAAGCAAGACCAAAAAGGCCTTGTCACGAGCTGGACTCGAACCAGCAGCTCTGGAAAAAATCCAGCCAACTTCCTTTTCTTCTGATCGTCACTTTGGTGACCGGCATGAAAAAGACTTGTAGCCTACTACGTCCGGTTAGTCCGTCGGGTCGGCGACAACCCGCGGCAACCATACCAAGACCTAACTTCACAAGCTCGCCTCACTTTTTGGCGCCAAAAACCTGTCAGCCCGGCCAGGGCGCACAGAGGTGTATCCCGGTCCATAGTCCAATCCAATGCCGGTTTACCCCGCTTTCCTTTCCTCAATGTAATCGACCCAACGAACGAAGCGAAGTGAAGTCATAGACATTTGAGGTACGTTGTTTGTAAGAATTCTCATCGATAGTAACCGAATATACGTCACCTTTTTTCACCGCAGAAAAATGCTGCACGGGCGGGGTACAGCTCGTTGCTAGGGCCGTAAACTGCTGCGCGGGAATTGAGCCAAAGTTAATTGGTTGGGCGTGTCCAAAAGGAGTACCACCGGACTGGTATTTCATGACATCTTGTTGAGGAGAGAGCCTCAACAAACCAGATTGAGAGGGAATACCTTCACCTAGTTCACTCGCTGAGTCTCTTTGCGTCCATGGCTGAATGGTTAAAGTGCCCAACCTAATAAAGGGG